TGGAGAAACAGGAACTATTTTGTGTTTCTGTCGCCAAGTCCGATTATTATAAGCGGTTTTGGGCTTGTTTTGTTTACAAAGGTGCTTGCAAATTTAGTGATTCGCGGGTTGCGCTTTTTGGGGCTCGTTTTTGAACGTGAAGTTACTCATTTGGAAAGAAGCAGAGACTCAATAAATCCCAGAATGTGTCGGTCATCCTGGTCCACAATCCATTCACACTTGATGGCGTAACTCGCCCGGCGCTGCCTCCCCGTCTTAGTAAACCTGTGTTCTCAACTTCTTTTTGCACGCCCTGTTTACACCAATGTCCAGTGGCTGGAGTTCTTTTGTTAATCCTCCCGGAATGACGGCAAACTCCAAATTAGTTTGCTTCACTTCCTTTTTCACAGCAGCAGTGAGATGGGCGCGCATGGAGTCGCAGATGATCAGGGACGGTGATGCGTGGAAAAACTTACCTGGTTTTTACCGGAGGCATATGCTACAGAACTCGGACAACAATTCTCTGATTGGTTTTTTGCTGCTGGTGTAGGTACTTTACGTATTACGTAATGTCCTCTGATTGGTTTATCGCTGCCAGAGTACGTACTGCACACTTTACGTCTCTGTGTCAGGGACAGATTTTGGAATTCAGTGCACACATAAGGCACACCGGATTATAAGGCACAGTGCTGAATTTTGAGAAAATGTAAGGCTTTTAGGTGTGCCTTATAGTCCGGAAAGTACGATAGTTACTTTCCAAATCAAGTAGTTAGTAATCTAACTAAGTTACTTTTTCAAAGAGTCGTCAGTAATCTGATTAAAATTACTTTTTCAAAGTAACTATGCCATCACTGCTGAAGATGTGTTTTTCCAGATATTCCTCCTTCTGACAAACCTCTAGTGTTAAATCTTGAATTTTTTGTACCTTTTTCTACTGTTGGTGACAATAATAATGATTTTATTTTATTTTGTATGTATTGCATTTACTGTAACTATGGGCAAGTTTGAGTGAGCAGCTATTTTCTTGAAGTTTTTTGCTAACTTATGCGGATCAATGACTAAAACATTCTGCATCCATCTTAAAGGGAAATTTTGGTTACATTTACATGGATTACAATTTGGAGAAACTCTCATAAACACGATTCAGCTTACATTTATTTGAAATAAATTACAACAGTTACTTCTGGAAGTTAAAAAAAATTAAAACATGTATTCAAATGAAAGGTTGGAGTCTTTGTAAATGGGTGGCAAAAATGGGGTTGTTTCTGGGTCAAATTAGAAGTTGTTTCATTTTGTTCTTGCGCATGTTCTCAGTTCTGAGTACATTGTATACTAGAAGAGTGTGAAAAAGACAGTCTACATCCTTTAACACTCGAGCAGCTTAGTTTTTGTTTGCCCATCCTAGTATGAAACCGTCGTGTTTATCCTTGACGTCTGTCAGGATCCTGGTGTGTATTTACTTCCATTTGTTGGTCCAGGACATTGGATTCTGCATTACACCCCAACTGGCCTCACTGTCCCACGCCCAGAAACAACAGGATCTTTCATAAATGTGTAACTTTGCACACACACCTTTCTCAAATATACATTCCTCTACAACCCGATTAAAGGAGCTGCTGCGTGGCTCACACAGAAGGGACACTTGAGTAGTGCAGGGAGCTGCAAGATGTTCTTTGCACAAAGGTAAGTCAAGACTCACTGCAAAAGGAGGCCTGTTTTTATTCATCGTGATAGGTTTGCTAACTGCAGGATTTACTGCGGTATTTTCTAGCTGGTTCAGCTAACAAGTAGCTAATGTCGACAATGTATATTGCTTAATGCACATTTCCTAATCTTTTACGCTTAAGGAATTTGTCAGAGTGCTCTTCTGCTCTTTCGTCAAGATCCGAGATTGACTTGTTTTCAAAGCAGAAACAAATCTCTGTATTTTTTAATTTTTTTATTCTTCAGGGAGTTTCTGGTGGATTTCTATGAATTTCTGTCTTCCCGGTTGAAAGATCGCCTGCATATTTTCCCACTATTGCAACCATGGATTCAGTCTAGCTTTCGAGGCTTGTTTTAAGTTGCCTGCGACTTGTACTTGGACACAGGCAGCTAAAGCAAGTCTGGGACGCCTGAGACACGTCAGCGAGAATATCTGACCTCAGAAGCCAGGACATAAAAATTATTCTGACAGATATGGGGTTTTGCAGTAAAATTCATTAAATTATATCCTGCAGTACAAAATCCGAGTGCATCATGAGAGTTTATTGAAAAGGTGTTATATTTCACCATCAATCTTCAGTAATTAGCTCTAAAAATGATTGCTGTTTTATGTAACTTTATTGTATTTTCCATTTTTTTATATGATTTCCTTTCTGTGTGAATGGCAGAACTCATATCAGGTGACTCACAAAAATATAAGCTTGTGATATAAGATGCTAATAGTTTTGTTCTTTGAGTTCGCCTTTGATTCACTGTATGTTTTCTAATTGAAAAGAAAATACATGTTTGTAAGCTTAAAATAGGAATGAATTGCCTAGACATTTAGATAGTAGAAATAATAACTATTATATCACTTGTCTTCTGGTTTGTGTCTTTTCTGAAACATTAAAGTTTACAGAGACAGTTTTAGAGAGAGTGAAATTGCCAAACCACACATAAACCAGCAGCATGTACCACGGTCGGTGTGTGCCTTCTCTTTCAGGATCATCATGAAATTTGCATGTTGTGGAGTTTACATTCATTTTCAGTGAAGCTAGATCAGATAATCAAAGTTTGATTGGAAGAGAAAACAAAAAGAACAGAACGACATCCAACACATGCCAGAGTCACAGCTGGAACAGTGTACACAGCCACATCAAGCCCACGTTTGAATGGTTTTAATTTGGTGCCCATATTTGCAATTTTTTAGTAGTGTTCTGCATTTTCTTTTTTTTTTTTTTTGCATAATCTTATAAAGTTTATTGAAAAAAAGCTTAAACCAGTGACTTAATGATATGAAGAATAAAATCTGAATAAAATATCTCAAATGTGTTGCCTGTTTCTGTGTATTACAAATGTTTTATATGTGTTGCAGTTAAACTGATACTGATTCTTATTGTTAATATATTAGAGTTGAACCACCTGGGTGTTACTTGTGAAATATATGCAGGAAACATCATCACTGTTATTTCCAATAATTGGGCTTAGTGGAGTTATTGATAAGAAATTTACAACTTACATCAAATCTGTTGAATATTAGACACAAAGTATTGACACCCGGTTGTTTTTTTTATCACATTACAAGTACAAAATTTGTGTATTTTATTTTATTTTTTAAGATTTTATATAATGAGCAACACAAGATTGTACAGTGGACAAAAAGAATATACGAGATTCTAAAAAGTATGCCATGAATAACTCCCCTCCTTAATTCTACCCCTAATTTGCATCTAGTGTAAGTAACTGTATCAGACAGCATTTAGAGTCAGATCCAGCTTTTCTGTGAATGTTTCAGAGGTTTGATGAAGAATATCAAGGGAACACAGCAGACAGTTCAATGAGAAAGCTGTGAAGAGAGACTAAGATGTACAAAAAACATTGCAAACTTTGAACATCACAAAGAGTTCTGTTCCATCCATCACCCGTTTGGATCAGAGAAGCATCCAAACGGTCTATGGTAACTCTGGAGGAGCTGCAGAGATCCACAGCTCAGTTGTGATCATCTATAAAAGTGACAACTTTTAGTCATGGACTCCACAAATCTAGCCTTTACAGAAGAGTGATCGTTTGTCACGAGCCGTGTATGAGACACTGCAAGCATGTGGACGGAGGTACTTAACTCTAATGAAACCAAGATTCAGCTTTCTCGTCTACAATGGTTCTACAAGACCAATGGGTGGGAAATAACTCTGTACAAATCTAAACACACCATTCTTTAAATTCAATACAATTCAATTTGATTCAATTCAATTTAGATTGAATTAGATTTGAATTTTCAGATTGACAACAAATTGCTGTCTCAAAACACAGACTTACAGTATATAGTCAATTCATTCAAATTCAGTACACACTATATTACAATTTCATGCTATGCTGCACTGATGCAATAACTTATCCAAAATAAAGCCCAGCCAAGTTTTGACTCAATGTGCTGTGTGTGGGCATACTCTGCAGTAGATCAACATTAAACATGATTTTAACTGGTCTTGTGTGACATTGTTACTCTGAACTGAAATTGAAATATTGGTCAGAGTTGACCGAAACAAATGCTGAATATATCTATATCAGCCATGTGCAGTTATTCTACACAGTCTTTGAATTTGACTTTTTAAATTAAATTACTAATATAACATTTTTTGTTCAGATTTTAATTTAGTAACTTAAATTTTCTAGATCACAGCAGATAGTCAAGCCACAATATCTAGGTTAAATTTAACTCCAGACTTTGACTAGACCAGTCCAAAACCATGTTTTTTTTAGCCATTTAAAGTTTGATTTACTGGTGTGATTTAGATTATTGTTTTCTGCATAACCCGAGTTCACTGGAGATTATGGTCATGAATAAAGACGTTTCACAAAATGTTTTTCCCAAAGTCTTGGGGGCCATCAATATATCTTTTTTTCCCTTTTTTTTGCGTGAAATTGTCAAAAATCATCTTAACTGAGAAAAGTGTTGATGTTATGTCCTTATATGTGACCTATGGATTAATTTGTGGATGAAAATGGAGTGATTTTAGTAGACTAATATTGCCACTCCTTCTCAGTTTGCAAATAGTTCTCATTATGGTTCACTGGAGAGCAAAAACCTGGACAATGGCTTTGGAACTGTTACCAGACTCATCATCTCAAATGTACAGTTTGATCAGAAACGGAATGACATAAAGTTCAGAAAAATGTGACTTTAACAAAGTCTGCTGCTCCTAGAACAGTTTTGCTCAAAGTCGATCCTCGAGGGAGGACTATAACATCTCTATCTGGTGGTAGTAACAAGCTTTTCAGCATGTTAGTGTTCTTCTTAGGCCTTCTAATGAGCCATCATTTGATCCAGGTGTATTAAACCAGAGAGAACTAAAACATGCACGATGCCGGGCCTTTAGGACCGACTTTGGACACCCCTGTCCTAGAAGAAGCAGAAAGACAAGAGCTTGCACCAATGAGCATCAGGGCCCATGGTTTTAAAGTTATGACCTCATTAGCCCCAGATTGAGGCCATATAACGTTAAATCCACACAGAGGAGGTTAGGAGGGATGAAATGTTCTTGTTTTCCTCAGCGCACTGAAGCGCGTTTTTCAAGGTAAATATTCTTTCTCCAACATGAGGCAGGTCTTTGTTGTTTACCAAGAGGTAAAGAGGCGGAAAAGTGAGGGGGATCTGAACTGGTTTCCATGTCAAACACTTCAATTCACCATAGAAACTCAGATCTTAACGCGGAAACTTTATTAAACTGTGATGGTGGATTGATAAGGGCCGAATTTCTATCGGCCTCTTTTTATTGTGGGCACCGGGCGGGCTGACAGAGGTAAATTGCTCTTTTAATTAAAGCAATGCACCAGGGGAAATTGCTGTCTGAATATTGTCTCAGAGATGGGGGCCAGTGACAGTTGCCTGGAAACTTCAATCTGTCCACCCGCATTTATTCCAGATCCCAGTTATGAGATAAAGTTTAATAAAAAATCTTTTGCTGCGCCACCGCCGAAATGAAACCCAAGCCTTTCTGAGCATCTGAACACAATGAGACAGGACCGCGGAGGAAACCTCATGTTCAACATGTATCTCTCAGGTTTGTCCCGTTAGGAATTAGTCAAACAGGCTTTTATGATAGAATTGGTTGGATGTTCGCAGCGCCGTGGAGTCCAGCAGAAGAAGATGTTCGGTTTCCAGGCCGGAGCTTTGCTGAGCCGCTTCCCTCTGAAAGCCCGTCTGCTCTTTTGTCGGAAATCGGAAATCCTTTTTCCTGGACGCGTTTCCTGGCTTCTTGCAGGGGGGACCGCAAGGATGACATGCTTCACGCACTGGACTCTGACTGCACGCACCAGAAAGCAATAGGATTTCATCCCATTTGCGCATTTATGAGTCTATTTTTTTGTGTGAATTGGTGCAAAATAGTCCACTTTAAATATTACTTAAAAATTGAACACCCTTTTAAAAATTAGGAGGGATTTGTTGTGTTTTGAGGATTTAAATAAATTATTGAGTTTTTATGCTTTTCCAGATATTGTTGTATTTAATGCATTTTTTTTGTCAGTTGTGTATTCATTTCATTCGTTATTCTTATTCTTCCTTATTCTTCTTAATATCCAAACCAGATTGTTATCTAGAAATACATAGCTTAGGGGAATTCCATAAACTATTTTGTGATATTGTAAATGAATATATATTTGATGTTCATTTTTCTGTTTTGACTTCAGATCCAACAGAGAATCTGTTGAAAGAAAGCAAAGGAACATCTTGGAGTCCAATAAATGCCGGAGTGCAAAAAGGTAAGAACCCAAAATAATAATAATAATAATAATAATAAATTTATTTGTTACTTTATTTCATTGCTTGTGTGTTATGCTTAGAATGCTATTTTAGTGAAAATGCATATCAAATATTAGCTGAGTAATAAAATATGGATTCTTAAAAAAAGAAAGAGTAGTAGATAGTACTTTATTTTGCTATCATAACGATTAATAAATTATGTGTTGTAAATACATATTTGATAAATATCGTTGAAAAATAATTATCTACTTCTAAATAGTAAACTATAAATGTTTATTTGTCAAAAGTACTACATTCAATTTGAAAATATATTTGAATACATTTTTATTCAAGAAAATATTGAAAATTAAGAAAGATAGAAAGACAGAACAAAAGAGAGAGGGAAAAAAGAATGAAAGAAAGAAACAAAATAATAAAAAAAACATTTATTTTAAGCTGAAATATCCGACATCAGTATGATTGACATCAGATTTTCTCTGATTTGATGACACACCGTTCATCTCTCAAACTAAATAAAATATATATATTTTATGTAATAGAAGTGGAATCTGGGGAGAATAAAGCCCAGAATGACTGTAAGACCTCAAATGGAATGCTGTTGCTATACAAGAACTGAAATCTAGTTTCTTTTTTTTCTCCACTAGTGAGATTAAGGTCTTCTGTCATGAATATTTCTTTGAGAACACAACATTGACTGTCGCGCGCGCGGGCGTGTGAGTGTGTGTGTGTGTGTGTGTGTTTTATCCTTCCTCTGTCTGCAGGCAGCGGACAGATCCAGCTGTGGCAGTTCCTTCTGGAGCTCCTCTCGGACAGCACCAACGTGTCCTGCATCGCCTGGGAGGGCACCAATGGGGAGTTCAAGCTCATCGACCCGGATGAGGTGGCCCGGCGCTGGGGGGAGCGGAAGAGCAAGCCCAACATGAACTACGACAAGCTGAGCCGGGCGCTGCGCTACTATTACGACAAGAACATCATGACTAAAGTCCACGGCAAGAGATACGCCTACAAGTTCGACTTCCACGGCCTGGCGCAGGTGTGCCAGCCGTCCACCACGGAGCAGGCCATCTACAAGTTTCAGGGGAACTTCTCCCCGATCCCCTTCTCCGGCATTTCCAAACTGAATCTCGTCACGCCCGGCGTGGGTCCCTCGGGTTTCTCCTACTGGCCCGGCTCCCCTCCGGCGGCCCTTTACCACAGCCACAACCTGCAGCCCACGGGGCCCTTCGGCACCGTGTCTCCGTCTCACATCAGCTGCGTCAACAACATCAACAGTCTGGCCAACATCAACAATCACTACAACTGACTCCTGTTGCACATTCCATGCCAGACTTGGAATAAATAAATAAACACGAACTGGTTTTTGTTTGCGCCCCAAATGTTGAGTAATTTCACCACGATTTGGACAAGATTTCTGAAAAACGACATTTATCTTATTTCACTCAGCAAACCTGCCTTATTCCACAGATAGCCTTGTAAATTTTGGACTGCATTTTATCCCGGTATCGGTAAATTATTCATTAGAATCAAAAAATGAACATTACGTCCTATTTTTTTATATTCCCCAATTTGATTGTAGATGGTCCTTGTAGATATGAAGTAAATAATTTCCTATAACTTGAATCAATCTGATCATTTGTTCAGACTACTGCGTAGAAACAACCAAGATGTGTGTTAAAAACTAACAAAAATTAGTTTGACTATGCTTTAAATCGTTTTTCACTCAAATGAATATTTAATAAATTAATAAATTAGAAAAGCCGCCTATCATTTTACACACACTTCTTTTCTGCGCAAAATGTCATTTTTTTTTTAAATATGAAATTTCTGATCTCCACTCAACAAATTTTGAATTTCAGAAATCAACAAACTTTTATCTGTGACAAGGTGTTTCTTGTTAGAGAACATAGCCATTAGATGTTCCAATAAAGTGCTAAAAGAGTTGTTTTCTCTTTTATTCCTTTAAATTGTTTCTGTCTTTTCGATCCTCGCCCCTTTATACATTTTGGTCGATCGGAACGCTACCGACTCTTTCAGATGCGAAATGGAGACACCTGCCAAAGGGAGGTTTACTGTCCATGAGCCATTTCGGACGTAAAGTATTTTTTTTCCTACTCATTACTCTACAGTGAGAAAATGTGCTTTTATGATTTCAATAAATAAAATTAGGAATATGACTAACGTTTTTATCTTAGTCACATTCATATTTATCCAGAGTTGAAGGGTAACAGAACCACAATCATAAGTAGATATAGGATTGAAATTTACAATAAAACAAAAAATAATGCCTAAGCTCTGAATGATTGCTGTAAATATTTATATTTAAGATACACAAAAATAATATTTACACCAGTTTGTGAATCGAGATAGCAATTGAGAATTGAAACTATCTTGGACAGACTAGGTGGAAAATGAACTGGTGATTTCCCGATGTTTTCCCTCCCGCTCTGAGTTAATTTTTTTAACGCTATTATGGTAGATCTCTGGCGCCACCTTGTGGTGAAGAATCGGGATTTTAGGACTTGAATTTGAGGTTCAGACTGTAAAAAAAAAAAAAAAACTCAGACGACATTGACAAATGACTACTTGCTTAAAAATCGCACTATACTAAAAAATATTCATAATTGTAAGCTTTTCTTTTTACCTGCAAAACAATTTCAAGCAGCACCGCCACGTAATATGTGTGATTTAGACAGGATGACATGGTTGAATCAGTCTGACGATTTTACTGTTTTAACTGAATTCATTTGAAATATGTTGTGACAACAGGCAAAATTCCATTTAGTGGAATTTGAATTGAATAAAAAAAAATCTAAAAAAAGGGGGGGGGGGGAAAGAAAGGAAAGAAAAAAAATCACGTTTATAAATAAATGTTCGGATCAGGAGGAAACTGAGTACTTCCCGATGTTCTTCCGTCTTATGACTTTGTAAAGTGCCAAAAGGAAAAAAAAAAGATATTTAGATTAGAGAAGATAAACAGTTAAAGCGAACCATTTTTGCCGACAATCAGATTAATAAACAGTGAACGTTTGACTTTTCTTAGCCTTCTTAATACATAAGAGTGAGCTAGTCTAATGATCGAGACGATATTTCTGACAGAGCCTAGATTTGTGTTATTGAGAAATATAGAGTCTTTGCTATTGGGAAAACCAGTCAATGGTTAAAATAATTATTTAAATAAGAATTACTATTGTTTTCAGCCGATGCTCCCCTCCAGAAAACAGAACATTCATCCAGGTGAGAGAAAACACTGAGAGAAAACATAAAGTTAACAGTTGAAATAACAGCAAATAATGCAAACTGGACCACAGAAGAAAAGGAAAGGTGGCCAGTTTGTCCTTTCCCATTAGCCTATGGCAGGAGAAGAGCTCAGGATAACTTAAGCTGCTCTAACCATAGGTTTTATAAATAAGGAAAGTTTCAAGCCAAGTGTTTAAAGTAAGCAGAGTTTGAGAGAGAGTGATTATTAAGAAAAAAAAATCTGTTTTTAATTTAACAGGAACATCGAAGAGAAACTAAAGCAGAATATGATACCAAGTCCAGAAGTAGCAGAAAATAAATAGCTACTTCATGACTTGGCTACAGTTCAGAGTAAATACAATTCAGCATAACAAAGATGTGACTTTGTTCTAAATCTCAAACAAATTTCCAGAAACTGTGAAACAACTGAAACACTGAATTCTTTTAAATCAAGTCTAAAAACCAGCCTGTTTTAGAGTTTCTTTTGAACCATAATAAATGGAAGACTGACCATTACACAATATTTGATGTGCATTGATGAATGATTGTTCCTGGTTTTACAATGGGTGACTGTATGATGTTTTTATGATATTTTAATGTTTTCACGAATAAAAACACTTTGTTTGATTGATTAACTGTCTCTTTTAGAACGAAGTCATAAATATTGAAATGTATTTATTTTGTAGTGAATGCCACTTTTGGTTGTGCCTTTAAAGAGTCTATAAGATAATAGAGCATTTAAATTCAGGTTTTAATCAGCTGGACATTTTTCTTGACCAGGTTTACTAGTTTAAGAAATTGTTGGAGCTGCTGCTTCCAAAAGTTACATTTTCCAGAAGTTTCAAAGTGCAACAATGACTCCAGTCGGCCATGCGGGGGCACCATCGCTCTTCTGCTGCCACAAATACACCTTACATAACTAAGTGATCAAAGGACTGGATTAATGCAGAGTGCAGAAGCTGTTGCAAATAGCAGATTAACCCTTCACCTCGTTATATGACAGTTCATGCTGGAGATGTGAGTCTGGACTGAATCTTAAAAGGACTGAGTTTCATTTGAAGATGAAATTAGACCAGCATTATGCTAAAAGTTGCAATTTGACGAAAAATAAATAATTTAGACAACCTGTTGGTGTCTACATAAAACCGTAGCATTGACGCAGCTATAGGTTAAAAAATCAGAACGTGTGTTTGCATGTGAGAGGGACAGAGAATCCACCCCTCACTCACAGCACCAGTGTTTGTGTATGTGTTCTGCATATCAATGGGAAAGAGATGAGGTCACTCTCAGCAACTAAATCTGTTCTCTTGCCAGGGTTGTTTTACGCACTAAACATTGTTGCAGACAGACAGACGCCTTCTGGCTGCCTCTCTGACACAGCAGCTCTGACAACAGAAGAACCCAAACAATGCTGTTATCAGGGTGTTTCGGTCTTCCACAATACAGCAATTCCCACCTTTCTCCCCCAAAATGTTTCTTGTTTCTGTGCCTCTATGTGCAGCACCCTTTACTGTTACTGATCCTCCTCCTCTCGCTTCTTGCATAACAAAGCAGGTGGGTGTTTTCCTGCGAGCCGCAGGATTAACAGTGTGAATGCAGGAGATAGAGGAGCGAGACGAAAAACACACAAAGGATGAAGGGGGAAATAAAATGAGCTTCTTAGACTCAGGTTTAAATAGCAGCCCTTTGAATTGATGGATGGAAAAATGTTGACACTTTAGCTCATTTTTGACTCCCATCTGTTGTCATTTTTCCACAGTGGTAAAACAGAAACATGTTTTGCCCCATTGAAAGAAAAAGAACTCATTGAAGAAATTTGCAGTCTTACAGTTGAAATCATGCTTCACATGTAGTGCATGTACACTACATGCACTACATAATATTACACAAAGCTTTTTTGTCACTATCTGTCATCATAACATCGAAACATTTCCTGTTTTAAGTCATCCTGTCACCCATCCATCTGTTTTCTACAACCGCTTCTCCTCACAGCAGCTGGTGTCCATTGGTCATTAAGGAAGATCAACCAGGACAGATTCCCAGTCCATTACAGAGCAGAGCATGCACAGTCATACATAAGGGCAACTTAAAGAGACAGCATAACCTAGCAGTTATGCCGTCTCTTTAATTCTATGAGGAAGCCAGCATAATGCCACGCATGCATGGGGAAGACATACAAATTCCCCGGCCACGATTCGAACAAAGGGCCTTCCTGCTGCCAGGCAACTGTTCTATCACAGCAAAAGATTAGACAGTTTTATTGCTTTCTTTAGATTTGTAAGTTTACATTAACAATGTTAGTAAAACTTCAAGCAACGTGAGAAGGGCATCAGGCACATCTATGGATTCACTTCAAGATAACACCTCAAACACACAGCTTCCTTTTGTGACATCTTAAGAAAATCCAAAGAAATCAACAAAGAAGGTTGTAGTAGGTCACCTTTAGCCTGACTGCAGTTTCCAGATGTATTCATCTGGTCAACCAGATATGTACGAGTGTGACCTGCTAATGAAAGAGAAAGGTTCTCTAATCGGTAGCAAAAGACCTCAGACCTCTAAACTGGTATGTCTATTCTATTCTATTCTATTCTATTCTATTCTATTCTATTCTATTCTATTCTATGTCAGCCTGCTGTATTTGATTTTACTGGATCTAGCTAAAGAGATGGAGTCAGTTCACATTTAATTGAAAAAGTTTATTTGCAGAGTTGACCATTATGTGTTGCCAAAACTCCTTATTTGTTTATCCTTTGTGTCTGAATGATTGATTGGTTAGAGATAGGTGGCTTCACAATCTCACAACAATCTTTGTATTGAAAATGAAAATGCTATAAACTGAAAATATGTGAAAAAACAACAACAACAACAACAACAACAACAACAAAAAAAACAGTGGGACCACACAGATAAAACCTTGACGGGTCTTCAGTAAATCTAAAGAACTGTTGATCAAGATCACTTTAAAAATTACAGTTAAGCCTGGTTTGATAACAGAAAAAAATATTAAAAGGTCAGAGATGACTCAAGAATTTTGCACATTATTCAAAATGTAGGTTTATTCAGACAATAATGCTTATTACATGTTTATTATATTCAGATAAATCTCTTAAAGCCACACTAAATACACAATAAGCAGGGTTTCATGTTCCCTGCAGTGAAACGAAGGCAGCCTGTGGGCATTAAGCTGCGTTGTGTGAAATATCACAGTCAGTGAGTCATTCTCTCAGCTACAGAAAGAAGCCATGAAGACTGCAAAATTTAGAGCAACACACCTACATGGTACAGAAATAGACTTGAGTTAGAAGGTGGGAGAAAGCACGACATGAAGAGACCCAGAGGTAAGAGAGGGAGGTAAGAAACCGGAGCATGATCTAAAACAAGGTTCTCTTTTTCTGATTTTGGGAAGTACAAACCTCTCAGTCTGTTCAACAGACTTCTATTTGCATTAATACAACATGAGTTAATGCCAATGAACTCATAATGCTAAAAAACACAAACACAATAAAAACACATTTTTCAAGCATCACTGTAATCATATCTAGTGGCTCCGAGGTATTTATATGGTAGTATGCACTTAAGCCTCCTCAAGGCGTGTTGGATAAAAGCCTTCGCCGAAATACATATGAGCGTGTCAGGAAGTGTGTGTGTGTGTGTGTGTTTGTGTGTGTTTGCGTGTGCGTGTGCCATTATCAGATGATTCAATGCATAATGCAAAGTTAAAAAGCTTCTTTCCAGGTTGCAACAATGACATGACATAGAACTTTTTATTTATTTATTTATTTTCAAAGAAGAAGGTTGAGTAAATTTTATGCAGTGAAGCAAAACTGAGGATGGCATCAAAGCAAAATTTCCATGCTCCAAAATCAAAACCTTCAAAATTGTAATAGATAAGTCAAAGACCATTTGGAGAACACATTTAAAGTTGAAGTTTGTTTTATTCTTAAACAATCTAATCAATTCCTTTTAATCTCATTGGGACTATTTTTGATGTTATTAGATAGCTGAGCAAGAAAATTATCTCAATTTCACATCAAATCTCACCTTGAATTGATTGGAGAAGGGTATATTATTAAGCTTTTAGAATGAACCAGACCTGTGGACTCTGTGCCAGGAAACCAGCCAATTTAAACAGACTCTGGCAATTCGGCCATTGAGCCTTTTTGCCACAATGCTACAAAGAACCACTGTACCTAAAAGTCAACCATGGTGGTGGCACTCTGTGAGGATAATGTGCTGCCAATGGCACTGAGACACTGAACAAATTTGTCACCTCCCTCTGAATTCAGCAGCCAGATGGGTAAAGTTGTAGGATTCAAGGAA